TATAAAAAAGGAGAAAACAATTCTCTTCCTGACTTTCTCACCAGAGAGTTTTTGCAGGGAAAATTAGGAGCTTAAGGGAGGTCACCATGCCTCCCAAGACAGGTAGAGGAGCCTTAGTTGCAAGAACAAAACCCCACAAAACAAAAGATGCCTATGCACAATCATCCTCTTCCCAAACCCCTCTCAAATTAAGCTGGTATGATAAAGTCAAGGAAGATGAAGCAGCAATATGTGTTAGTCAATCTCCATTGATTACAAACCAATTTTCAGCCCTAACCAAAATTCCCCAACATGTCGTAGACATGTCCCTAATACAATACGACCCCATCCAAACATTCTTATAATCCCAACAACCAGTTTTCCCTCCTTTGCAAAAATCTTATGCTAAAATTTCTTCAGCATCAAACAAACAAATTTACTCAAGAACTGTTAAGCAACAAGTGGTGGTTAGTAATCCCACTCCCAAAAAATCTCGTTATTTTCAAAAACCAAATTCTTCAACCATTTGTGTGGTTGAAAAAAAACTTTTTAACCAAAACCCAATTTTACTTTCTCAAAATCATTTTGTCAAAGGTTTTCAATATCCGACATCAGATTTTCGAAAAATACAAAAATTTTATGAGTTTATTTTAGTGGACATTGATTCCATCTAAATTCGAACTCATTCAAAATTAGGTGATAAGTCTTTCATTTTTCACACCACTTGTACAATTCAAAAAGTCCTTACTCCAGCAGCCTGGGGTAAAAACATCAATACTCCGAGGCAATTTTCTCAGTCTCGCAATCCTCAAATTTTCAATTACTGGAACTATCAAGATGCCTTGTACAATACCTTTTATTTCCAAAATCAGAATTACAGCCATTCTTGGCTTATCCTTTTCCAAAAGAATTTCAATCTGAAAGTCCCCAGATGGTTTATTGACTGGTGGCATATGTTTGGTCTCTGTAAAGAAATTATCCCTAATTCTGTGTCCAAGGGATTTTCAATCTTCCAAGAAAAATTCCAAGCTCCTCCTGAGCTTTCGGAATTTCCCAAATCATTCTTATTTTTTACAAATTTCGCATTGTCATGGATAGTTCTATGACAATTCCAAATTCTTAATTCTCCTTCCAATCTTCCTCTTCTAGGAAGAATTTTCAAAGTTAAATGGTGGGACCAATTCTCGATCAAAGATGTTACTCCAGAAGCAATTTCAGAATGGTTTTCAAAGCATCCTGCAATCTCATGTTCTGGCTTAAGAGAATCCTCAGCTTTCCTCCTGTCCAGAAGCCAGACCCAAGCAAGGCTTTCTTCAGCAAAATCCAAAGATGAGTATGAAGCCTTCTTTATGGAAGCTTTAGCCTAAGTCAATCCCATAACCTTCTCAAGAATAGGCTCCAACAGAAGTGAAGGTTCATGTTCATTCCATGGCTCCCAAACAAATCTGGCCCAAACCAATGACGAGGCCCAGGCCAATGAAGATGACTGGTTTGGTATTTTCACCCAACAGCTCCAATGACAAAATTTTCAAAGAATCTTCATTGCCCTTCAAAAAAGTTTCAGACATCGGTCATTTAATGCCGCTGCATACCCACAAAAAAAAAAAAAAAAAAAAAAAAAAAAAAAAAAGGGCAAAATCCACAATTAAAAAGGTTATTCAATAGTTATCCATTTTCAGCCTTCTAGCACCTTTTGACGTTCATGGCAGACAAGAGTTTCAGAAATTATTTCAATAAAGGAATCCAAGGCCACTTTAACCATGCATGGCAAGCTACAACTCTATTATCATAGCACATAGATGTCAGCAGTGTCTGTAGTCATCTTTCAATCACCTCAATTCAGCCTTTCAGCCTTTGCACATGGCCTCCAGCAGCATCCTTATCCCCAAGGAATCCAAGGCTCCCCAAATCTCCATCGAGACCCTATAAATAGCAGCTCCTCAAGACATTGAAGGTAGGCTAGAACAAAGTTCAGTTCTCAATTTCATTTCAAAATTCTCAGTTCAAATTGTAATATTTAAGTTTTAGTTTTACTTTATCCAAGGAGCTCAGCTCAGACCATAGTGTTGAATTCAAAGATCAGAGTTATAAGTTCCAAGTTTCAATCAAAGTTATTCCAAGTTTGTTATTTAGCCGCATATCCTCCACGGTCCACCATTGCAGTAGCACGTACTCTTCTTCTTGCTCAACTTCTTTTATTTACCCATCATATATATATATATATATATATATATATATATATATATATACCATTATAATATTATATATAATGTGTATCATAATATAATGGTATATATATACCATTAAATATTATTTATACTATATTTGCATTTCAATTCAGCCTTCAAACCTATATAAATCTGAATTTTTCCTTGAAATTTATATATATATATATATATTTGAGAATTATACTGTGCATTCATCTCTTTGGTTGTTATTGATTTTCATTTTATACAGATTTCTTAAAGGAACACTACAAGAAATAATGCCTAAGTTTTTTTCCTTTTTTTATATTATTTATGCCTACATGTTTTTCTTCTTCTTTTTTAATTTTTTATATTTCAAAATAGTTTTTGTTTTATAAAAAAAATTATTCCTTTCATGTGACTAATGTGAACTTGACAGTTAACATATTAAAAAAATAAATAAATAAATAAAAAGTGTTAGTTTATAACTATGAATGATGTCATTCAGATTATTTAATACAAAAAAATATTCAAAACGCATTCATAAAGTAGATTTTTAAATAGACTTAATGGGTATTTAAGTCAATTTATATTTCAGTTCCCTTTTAGCTAAAGTCCGTAAGTCACCACCTTGGATAGTTAAGGGGAATTTTTTGGCAAAAAATTTGAAAATGAGGGTTTAATGTAGAACGCAAATAGAATAGGGAGGTTTAATGTAGTTCACCCTATATAATATTATAATGGTATATATATATATATATGATTGGTAAATATAAGAAGTTGAGCAAGAAGAGGAGTACATGTTGCTACAATGGTGATATGCGGCTAAAATTGATAATTGAGTAGATATATATGTAGGGTATATATATATATATATATATGATGGATAAATATAAGAAGCTGAGTAAGAAGAGGAGTACGTGTTGTTACAATGGTAGATGATATGCGGCTAAAATTGATAATTATGTAGATATATATGTAGGGTATATTAAAATGGGTATAGGGGCATTTTTGTCTCAAAAATATATGAGAAAACTCAATGTCAAAATCGCTCCTTTTAAGTTAACTTTAGTTAGTTAAATCACCCCGTCAAATAATTGAAGGGAATATTTTGACAAAAAAAATAGAAAAAAAATATATACATTAATAATGCAAAACCCAAATAGAAAAGAGGTGTTTAATGCAATTTACCTTCTTTTTTTTTTCTTTTTTCTTTTTTTTTTAATGCATGTATATAGTCATGTTCTTTTATTTAGAGATTATCACACAAATAAGTGACATCGGTGATTAAGATTCCACAAGCCAAATATTGGTCCAAACCTTGTGTAAATGGCTTGAGATTTTTTATTAAATAAGGTGTTGGAGATCATTTCTCTCTTTCATTTCTCTCTGTTGAAGATTTTTTGTCTTTGTTTTTAATAGCTTACTGTCTCATCAAAAAATAGTCTGAAATGGTTGGATTCCCCCATAACGCATCTAACTATCCAAGGGATGCAAACTCTTCGTTACACTGCTTTGATTTTTCTCTTATTTATTTATTTATTTAAAGTTCTTCACTATTTTTCTATTGCTGTGAGAGGTTGTTTGGTTATCTTTTTTTATCTTTTATACAATGGATTAAGTTAGGGGTGGAGAGAGAAGATTACCACAAGTGTCTAGTGCCTAAAGTCAAGTAGCAATGGGTCATGTGAGAGTTTAGGTAATATTCTTGTTTGGGCCTATCAGAACCCAATCCATTGTTTTAGTTGGGCTGTTTGGTTTGGTTAAAAACATCAAAGATTTTAGAGATCTCCTATTCCTCTCATAAAAGAGGGGTTCAAATTCCCATTCAAGTAACAGTAGTTTATGAGTAGTTGATCACCGTCATGAACTAAATTGAGAGTATATTACCAAGAAATCAAGAACTTTAGCTCTCCTGATATGTCCTACTCCTTCATATAAGAGTGAGGATTCAAATTCTCATTGAGGCAAGGGTGCGTTGTGGGTGTAATATTCTGATCCACACAGAAATCACGATTTACGTAGTCTGGTAAAATTGTTTTGCCTCGAGTTGAAGCTGCAACATTAACCGGGCTCATGATCTAGGCTCCAAAACCTCAACATCAACAATTTCTCTGTTGAAATTGTCATCACTAGGTTAAAACTATCATGTCTTACTAGAATCTAAACTCATATCACATTACACTTCGTACTCTTTCTTTCGTTTGTACCCTTTCTAAAATTAGAATTTACATTTAGAAAGATTAATGGAACCTCCACCAATATGCCTATAACCATTATAGCTTTGCCGCTATAAGATTATTTCTTTGTGATTCCAATTTATAATTCGGCTAAAAAGTTGTTCAACTAAGTTTAATCCTTAAAGTTACCATTCTCAACAATAAACAAGCACACAAATCTCCATGATCTATTCCAGACGAAGCCTATAAATATCATGGGCTGAGAAGATAAATCCTCTTTGTTATGAATGCGAAAATCAAAAGCCCCCAACCTTTTTTAGGCTCTATTCAGGTTATACCCCTTCACTAATTGAAGACCAAAGCTCGGCCTAAATTTATGTAATTAAGAAGTGACATCATGATAACATCATCTTTTTAATGATGTCACCCCCTACTCACATATATCAAATTTTCGGACTACTTATCATTATTTTTTTTTGTACGAAACCTGAAATTACTGAAAGATTTGCATGTTTAGAGCAGAATAATATCTGTGTGCTCACGCACAAAACCGTAAGTCATATGGTTGGGAGATCCTCTTGCTGTAGACAATGCATATAATGATAAGAGATTATGGATGTTGCCAGTCCCTCACAATACTAAACAAGAAGAAATCTGATCAAAATGAAACCACCACTTCCACCATTGCCGTGATTTAAAGTCCACAAGTTTATGCCATTTGCATGTGTTTTCCATCAAAACCTAATGCCAAACATACTTGCATAGATGTAAACTCAAGGATCAGAAGGTAACCCAACTACAATATACACACACAAACACTCGAGTAGGGTTCCGATATTTAACCCGTGTTCCTCATCCCAGCAGCAATTCCGTTTATAGTAATGAGCAATGCATCTCTTAGTTTATGGTTATCATCATCACATCTCAATCTCCTCAATATCTCAACCTGCAACAAGTTTATTGGATTGAGATAGGGAAGCCTGCTCTCAATCAACCTTCGCAAAACCCGGTTATTACTTGAGAGTTTCTCATGCCCACTAACCGCCAATACATACTTCTCTGTTGTCAAAAGCTCCCCCCTCAGTTGGGCACCAAGTCGTCGCCTGCTCTCAGACACAAGAACTTCATCGTAATGCTTGACTATAGGAATGTCAGTTTTCGCTAGAACCATCTCTATGAGGTCTATGGTACATTGAAAGAAAGGCCATTCTTTGTACATTGCATGTAAATCTTCAGTATGTCCCTTCTCACAAACACCTTTCAAGCCTGCTCCAACACCAAGCCAAGAAGGAAGAACAAATCTGGTTTGGGTCCATGCAAATATCCATGGAATTGCACGAAGATGTCCAATTCCTACCGAACTCTTTCTTCTTGTGGGACGGCTTCCTATGTTAAGGAAGCCAAGCTCAGCCTGTGGGGTAGCTTCATGGAAGTAAGCAAGAAATTCTGGGTTTTCATAGACTGTACTCCGATAGTTTTGGCAGCTAGTTTTTGAGATTTCCTCCATTAGGTCACGCCATTTTTCTTCTCTAGGTGGGAATGGTGGGCGTAAAGTGGCAAGCAGCACAGCTGTCGTGTAGATTTCTAGCTGTCGAACAGCTACCTGTGGTAACCCAAACTTGGCCTGCACCATTTCTCCCTGTTCAGTAGACCGGAGGGTACCCTGCCATATTAAACAACAATTCAGTGCCAGCATAAAGGCATAGGCTACAGAACACTCCAAATATAAATCCAAAACATCGACAACTAATTGACTTTCAGAAGGGAAATTAGTGAACTTCAAATGAGTTTGGAGCTTCTTTACTCTAGAAATGAAACTTAAAACCAATTTTGATTGAAATGTAAAATAAATCTAATGACAAAAACATCAATTCAAGTTGCAAGTAACCTTTTCACTTGGGTTCATGTTACAATATTGGCAATTATGGAACCAGAAAAAGTTTGTAGAAGTTGACGGAAGTTCATAAGAATTCAAACTAGAGTTAGATGTTCCTTGCATTTTGCACTACAAACCATTGGCCATTTAAGGAAGCAGGATATATATCGACATTCCCCGTTGGAAAATGAAAAAATCTATTTCCTGGCACAATGATGAAGCAAACATGTCCAGACTTATTCCCATAAGCAATTAGAGTTTCAATCGTGGAATTTAATAGACAACTCACCATTACAGAACCAGGCGGTTGGGATTGAATGGCAAGATAAGTGGGGCCACCACCACGACCGACACTCCCTCCACGCCCGTGAAACAGAGTAACTTTAATACCATACTCATTGCATGCAGCTACAACATCCTCTTGAGCTTTGTAAAGTTCCCAAGCTGCAGTGAAGCGCCCGGCATCTTTGCCAGAATCAGAATATCCAACCATCACCTGTCCATAACTTCGTGAGATCCAGAATTCTCATGGACACTTTTACCAAATTGAAGTTGGTGAGTCGGTGCGCATAATAAATACCTCCTGGTGCCCGTTATGGTTCTTTATGATGTGCTCCCTGTACCAATCAATTGATAATAGTTTCCTGATCACTGAGCCAGCTCCTCTCAAGTCCTTTACAGTTTCAAACAAAGGAACCACCCGCAGCCTATTCCAAGACATGCATTTAATGAGAATATTATATTGCATTTGCATTGTGAACATAATAAACACCTACCAAAAACATGCAAAAATTTTAACTCCTAACAGCTTCTGTTATGTTTGCGACAAACATGCTACTATTATAATTTTGTTGTTTCTAAGCTCTTTGTTTAGTGTAGAAGTACACATGCTATGCAAATTCAAAATGAGAAAATTAGAAAGGACTCTAAAGAAGAAAATAAAAAAAGTAAAATAAATTGTTGCCATACAACAAAGCATAATATTTTAATGATACCAATCATAAATTAAATGCTCTATAAGAATAGGAGTGTGGATGGATACACGTTAGTATAGAGAAAAGTCATCATAAATTAGTTCTGAAGTAAATATGTGATCAGTTATTCATTAAAAATGAATAAAAACTAATACATATATATTTGTTTCACTAAATATAATAGAAATGTGGATGGAAACCATGTTAGAATTGCTCCAAAAGCTTAAGCTGATAGAGAATGGGCCCAACAATGAATATTGAACTCTAACACCCTTCCTCACATGCAACCTCGTCTAGCACGTGACGAGACCAACTAATCAAACTAAGATCATAACAAGTGCAAGCTTGAAACCAGAGAACAATTACAGAGATGGAGACTTGAACCCAAGACCTCCAAGAACGATCTGATACTGTGTTAGATCACCAATTGCTCCACAAGATTAAGCTATTCTAGGGTCCAACAATATACATCAAACTCCAGTAAGAATGGCAATAAGTTCCCAGCAAAGTAAGAAGATAAAACATTGTCATTATTCAACTAACCCCTTTGGGGTATTTCCCAATATGCCATCCCAACAGTTCCTTTGTATGATACTGAGGAAAACTCACAACATAATATCATATGAACCCCAAAAGAAAAAGAAATAATTAACCTTGGAGTTGGAGGCAATAGGACAATTCGCCCAAAAAAATAATATATATTTCACTCTTTTTCACAGCACACGAAAGCATTACCAGCACCATGACCTTAATGGACTAATCCAAAAGCACTACCACAGCCAAAATAATATTATAATTGATGAGGATAAAAATAATTGGCAACTCAAAGTCAAAATAAGATAAGGGTAAGGGATTTATCCTCCCCAAAATCTCTATGGAATTATAAAAAATATTTGGTTACCATATGTAACAACAGTTACCATTCCTGTAAGAAGGAAACGATATCATCTTGGATCAGGGAGAATCTCGCTTCAACAACTACTACCATCAATGCTTCTATAAAAGAAATGATCAGTCAACCTAAAAAGGCACGCCATAAATTTTATATGTAATCCTTATCGGATATTATATCGTCAAGTACTAACTTGACTGTCGGAGTGCACCCGGCCGGCACCACGCCGGTCATCACTTCTCTTGTTTTGCAGGAATCGCCAACGACTCCGGAGCGTGTAGATTTTTGGCATCAACAATAATAACTAAAACCTATGATAAGATGGGAAGTGGTGTCTTTCTTTTGAAATACCAAAACTAATCCCATTAACTGAGAAATATAAAATCATTTTGAAAATGTTACGGAACATATTATCCGTTCCGAATGCCATGTAAAACAAAACTACCATATGTTGTCCAAATACCACCATAAAAAATGTAATAAAACACAAACCAAAGCAAAGGAGTATTGGTTAAAATTCAGTAGGAAACCTTTATGATTGAGTACAATCAACATAAAAAAGAGAAGGGGTGTGATCTTACGTTCCACCTGGACATTGTCTGCCAAGTTCCCCGGAAACGGAAAGACGGGCATCTTTCTGCAAAAGCTCCACAGCGAGAACATCACTTGCCTGCCATTCAGCAAGTTTAGGCCAACGTCATAATTGATCGTATATCACAAACTAGTAAATGGACAAGATTAATATCTAATACCATATTATCATACACTTATCACTACTGATTGAACATACATTCGAGGCCATAGAGATAACATATGCTCCTAGGGAATCGCTTCCCAACTCAGCACCGACACGGAAGGTGTCCAAAACTTCTTTAACATCAGGAGGAACCTAAAAAACCCAATTGAAAAAGATTAGAAAAATAAAAAATAAAAAATCAAATCCATAAATTACGGCAATAAAAGTTTGTGATATCATCTAGTTAGAATTTTCAGGGAAAAATTCTCACAATGGTCCAAGTTTGCATTTAATAATGAATATTGATCACCTACACAGTGCACTCATTAAATTCTTTAAAGAAATTCGTAAATAGTTTAACCATGCTTTTAAGAGAAGATCCAGTTCAAAGTAAGAACTTTTGATGGAAAACAACGATGAGCATTAGAATGCAAGAGCACATATTTTTATTAGATTTATAAAGGAAGGATTTCTCTATGGGCAGGTAAAAATCCATGTATTACATCACAAAAAGGCAGTTTTGAAAAAGGAAGTACAGCATGTAATTGACCTTTCTACTCTATTTCAGAGAAATATTACTCAGACTAAAGAAAGCCATATTTGGTTAGTTTACAAGTGAGCTTCATAAACTTCTAGTGAGAAATCCCTCACTGCAATGATGCACTACAAGTAAAAGTATGAACCTTGCTAATTTTAGGTGAGCGTCAAGGAGAAAATTTTGATAGCCTTTTAAATCAAGGTTCATTTAAGTTTAGATCTACAAAAGTAAGTAAATAGAGAAATAAACAACGGTCGAAAAAATGGGTACCATATACAATTTTAAAACCCCTCTTTCCAACCATTTCGCCATAATTTTTTTGTTAGTTCTTTAACATTGCGTATTTATGAATAAAATAAAGATCCATATTCAATTCTAGTACATGATTCCTCCATCCTCTCTTCTAGTTTCTTAAGCCGACTTGGGCAATATTTAAATGCCACGGGTAATATTTGAGAAAAAAGAATCAAGATACCAAAAAGCAACATGATTAATAAGCTTATTTATATCATGAATTATGACTTCATCCCATGAATCTAAGAAGCACGGACATGGATACGACACGACACGGACACGGCGACACGGCAAATCCAAAAAATTAGGACACGGACACGGCGAATAGTATATATATATATATATATATATATATATATGATGTAGTACTTTAAAAATTACTGAGTGTTATTATTTTTCATCAACCTCACAATGAAAAAAAACACAAATCATAACTCATAACTAATAAACTATAAAAAAACAATGTTGCATAGTTATAAAATCAAATAAAAAACAAGACATTAGAATAATAAGTAGTATCATTTAATCATCATTGCAACTTTACTCCAAATACAAAAGCATAGACAGAAAGGACTATTAACATTCATGACTGTTTAACATTCAGGACTTTACCGTTAGCACTTAATATTTACAAAAACTTAAAGGCCAGTCCCCAAAAAAGATACAAAAACAAGTCAATGTACTATCATCTAGTCCCATCCATCATTTGACCTAGGACTTTTACCATTTACAATACCAAAAGGGTAGTACAAAACAAAAAATAGAACATATCAGCATTAAAATTAATAATATATATATATATATATATATTAACATATTAGCATTAAAAAAAAAATTTTAAAAAAAAAAAAAAATCCAGAAGAAAAGTGTGTCCGAGCCGTGTCCGAGCTGTCTGAGCCGTGTCCGTGCCGTGTCCAAAATTTTAAAAAAAATATAAAAAAATTCAGACACGTTTTTTGGCTTTTCCGACGCGTGTCCGTGTCCAACACGTGTCGGACACAGATTCTTCGCCCATTTTGGAGTGTCCGTGCTTCCTAGCCATGAATTAATGAAAGAGAATCCGCAAAATCCAATGTCAAAGGCTCGACGTGTGAGATATAACTCTGTAATGTTGGCAAATTTCAGATTCAAAACTTGATGATTGAGCTGTATTTTTGTTCATCTTGAGCCTCAGTCTTTTGGAGCTAAAGTGTAAGTGCCTCTGATTGTTGAATCCATTGAGAACATCATTTAGAATAGGTATGTGAGCGAGGAGCACTTGTGAGTATGTTTAAAGTTGGGTAGGAGAGCTGAGGTTGGAAATAACACTCAGCAAAGTCCAACCGGATGCACTTTATTCTTGAACCGACTGTACTTCCTGTATGAAATATGCCCTTGGGAAAATTCCAACCGGTTGAACTTTGAAATCCAACCGGTTGAACTTCCTTCATGAGAACAAGTCTCTGTAAAAATCCAACCGGTTGCTTGAATGTGCGAAAAATCATATTTTGGTAACTTTTTAGTCACCTATTTTCACCCAAACTTCTAGAGCTGTCCTTGCACGATTTTAAAACCTCTTTTTACCTATTGTATGGACTCTCTAGTATATATATAACATCTATCTCTAACCCTAAGAGAGAGATTGGTTGCTTCAATTAGAAAAACAAGATTTTCATCTTTTACATGAAGCTTTTTGAGAGAATTTTCAGTGAAATCTGATTGTATATTTTTTAGAGCACGCACTTAAACACGAGTGATTAGAGTGATGTTCTTCTATTGATCAACACGGAATCTTCAGATTAAAGATTTAAGAGAGCAAATTTTCAACAAACCTTCACAAAATTCAGATTTGAAGGAAGAAGGGGATTCAATCGCACTACGCAGGGATCAAGGTGTTCGTGAAGTGCTTGTTGATCTACCAGCTATCCTTCTACAAGGATCAAGGAAGTAAGCTTGAAGTCAAGTGTTGTTGAATGGGGGAGTTGCAAAGGCAGAGGCGTTCAGCGATTAGTTCTTGGTAGAGTGAAAAAGTGTGAGCATGAGTCAGAATCCATTGTACTTTGCTTCAACAAATAGTGGATCATTTCGCTTAAGGCTGCGAAATTCTCCTTGGTTTTCATCCTGAAGTCAAGTGTTGTTGAACGGGGGAGTTGCAAAGGCAGAGGCGTTCAGCGATTAGTTCTTGGTAGAGTGAAAAAGTGTGAGCCTGAGTCAGGAGTCCATTGTACTTTGCTTCAACAAATAGTGGATCGTTTCGCTTGAGGCTACGAAATTCTCCATGGCTTTCATCCTGGTTGGTCGGATTTCTTCCAACAAGGGCTTCCACGAACAAAAACCTGGTGTCATCACTCAAACTCTACTTTACTTGTTTTACTTTACAATTTTTTTTTTCATGGTTGTGGGTAAATTAATCGATCACAAAAATTGGGCAAGTTGACCTATTCACCCCCCCTAGGTCATTAGAGTATTGTTTCACAACTTACTCAACTAATAGCTTCGGCACCGTGCTACTCACACAACGACGTGAACTAGTGCCCCCCATAAGGATTTCATAATTTCTAACACTTGCACTTGAAAATAATCGCCCCATGCTGCTTCCCACATCCTAAAAGAGAAACATCAAGGATACACAACCAAATTCCATGCCCAGTTAACATTGAGTTATACAATTCCTACAACATTAAAATGTGTGTGTGTGTGTGTGTGCGCGTGTGTGTGTGTGTGAGTGAGTGAGAGAGAGAGAGAGAGAGTCTAATAGTGAAACCAACAACTCCATAACCATTTTCATCATTTTCACTCTGAACAATCAATAAAACAGTACTTTAATTGAATATGGGATTTAAAAGTTTTATATTTCACAATTCATGGTCGGTGGAGAATCAAATGACCTTACCTGTATAGTAGGAGGAACTAATGGCCGCTTCCCTTTCAATTCTCTCGTTAGAAATTCCAGTCTTCTTTCTTCATCCCACTCACTATATGTACCCATATCCAAGTATCTGGTAATTGCGTCTAAAGTCTCAGAATGTCTACCAGATTCCTGATACATGGCAAAACAGATTAAGTCAAAAAAAAATTACCTAAATAAGTTGCAGCAACTATAATTCAAAAGAGAACACACCTGACGCAAGTCAAGCTTCATTAGAACCATTCCAAAGGTAGCAACTCGCCGGATTAGGTCAGCTAGCCGACCATCAGCTAGCACCCCAGATCCACATGATTGCTGTAACATCAATAATTTCACATCAACAACTTGACCCAACTAAACAAGCCTCAATAACAAATGAAGTTTGTGTTCTTTCTTCTTCTCTTTTTTGTATTTGTATATGCATGGAGAGGTTGAATACCAGAGACTCATAGCACAGAAGCAATGGTTCCAAAAGTTGATCTGATGTTTCATAATAATCCCAAGGATCGTTTTCACAAGGAAGATCCTCGAGGAGAAGTTCCAGCCGCCTTCGTGTCTTCATGAGCTGATTTCACAAGGCAAAAAAAACAATTACTTATTACTGCATTTACAAGTAGAATAGAAACAATGACAAGCTGACTCTTCATTCCTCTTTGTTAACAACCATCAACTCCAAAAGCTTAAGCTATTAGAGAGGGTGTAACTTTAATATTTAAATCCTTCAACACGCCCACTCACGTTTGACCTTCTTTTGGTCCATCCAACACGCCTCACGTGTGACCTCTTTTTGGTCCAACTCGTATTTCCAATTTTAATTTTCTATTCTAGCTCTGTTCTTTCAAGAATCCATCTCAACATCAAAAAAATTGTTTCGCATCTATATTTTAAATATTATATTATTAAAATAAAAAACATATACATATATATTATATTATAGAAATTTTGTACAATTTGCAAAAGTTGAGAATTTCATCAGTTCTCAAAATTTGCCCTCATAAATTATAGTTGCAAATTTGTAACTATAATATTTGATATTTTTTCTTTTTCCTATTTAATACTCGCACACACACCCCACAAGGGATTGTTAGCACCCAAGAGGAGTCGAAACTTAGACCTGATGCTTATTGAGGCACCAGGGCCAAGTGACTTGCCCACTTGAGCCAACCCCTTGGGGTTATAATATTTGATATTAGTTATAAATAATGGCATATTTGTATATTATATTTGTTGAGGGTGTTTTGTCCTAGTAAAAAGTTTTCAAAATGGGAACCGTTCTAATTTAATAAGCTTTGATAAATGATAAGGGTATCTCAGTCTGACATTACGTTACATTTATTAATGGTCTTGACTGGTAGATAGCAGCAGGGGGCGTTTCTGAAAGAAGTCCCGACTGCTATTGTAAGTTCTATCTGCATGTGATTTCCTTAAACCTAAGGGGATTTTTTTTTTATTTATAGCTTCCCCATCCTGCCAACCATTGCCTATTTATCATAATCAGGTGCTACTCAGATTGAAAAGCATTACCGTTTCTTTTACATTCCCAAGAACAATTCTATAGGGAGCAATTCCAGGTCGAAGGGGCATGCTTGGCTCTAAAAGTTTCTGGAAGCTTGTCCTTCCTATTTGAGATTCGGCAAATAGCTTCCTTTGAGTTAGGAGCTGACTTGAGCTGAGAGGAGCAGAACGTGGTGTCGAGGCTGGAGAATTGTTCGAATTAGCTATATTTCCATTTCCATTTCCAAAATTTTTGCTCAAATTTTTATTGGAATCCTGGAATGTAGGCCCTAATCTTGAATCATTCTGCCCATCCTACAAAAGATTAAAATAAAATAAATAAATAATCATAAAAATTAAAAACCATATAAGTAAATGCTGAAAAGGTGTAGGCACAGTGAAAATAAGCAGCATCCATACAGGGAAATCAAATGTAGCACAAATATACCAGCTTTCATAAAACAAGTTTCACCTGACGATTTAATGGCATTTTATCTGTCCGAGGAACTTCTAGCCTAGGATACTGAGATCCTCCATCCTCGCATTCTACAAAAAGACATAAATTAATGGAGCAAATATCAATTATATGTCATATTGGCTAGCATTTACATAATATGCTATATCAAAAACATATTTCGCCACAATGCAAAAGGTCGAAAGGGCGTGATGCACAAAATGGCAGCATCTTTTAAATTTAAACTTTTAGAAAGGAAAAACTAATGAGTTCCAGATTGGGCATCAATCTGACATCAATTTTTGTCATGGTCGCAATGTAAAGATATTCCAAAATTTTGGAATGGAAGTACCAAGATTCAATCAAAAAGTGACAGATTTCATTAATATCAAGAGTTAAAATTATTAAGAATTAAAGTTTTCAATTAATGATTAGCCAAAAAAAAAAATTAACTTCGTCCATTCTAAAAAACAGACGACGGAAGTCTTTTAACAATAGTCCAACATGAATAAATATATAATATGTCTACTACTCCAAGTCCTTAAGGCAAAAGGATTTAAACACTGGTGAGATGGCCAAATATATTAAACCTATGAAGCATGGAAATGGGCATGCGACACCGGTACGACATGATATAAACACCATGATATGTTAAATTTCCAAATAATAATAATAATAATAATAATAGAACGCACACGGCAAGGTTACATCAAAATAAATAATAATATAGTATATCACTATACATACTTCCATTTTATCCATATTATCATAAATCATAAATGTAATCACTTATTTAGAGATTATAACTGGATAGGTGGTGTTATCATATTCTAAAACTTAATATTATTTTTTTAATTATCGATAATATGTTTTAAAATTGCATTAGAACACCATTTTTCTTAAAAAATAATTGCAAAACTACCCTACTGTGTCCTGAAAGTCTCTTAAAAGTGTCCACGCCGTGTTCGTGTCCAACCAAGATAAAAATTATTCAAATTCCAGGAGCAATGTTGGATACATGTACGGACGTGTCCCACACTTCCGTGTTGGACATGTATCCTACACCACTACAGTACTTCTAAAGGGTGTCCATCCCTCCTAGCGTTTAACTAGTTAACAGTTTCATATGAAAATATTGTTGAAGTGTTTTTTATGTCAATATTGTATTTATATATTTACACAATTAACAATGTAAAAGCCCTTTTATCAAAAAAAAAAAAATTAACAGTTGTTAAATATTAGGGATAATAGTTATCCACCGTATTACCAGTCGGTTCCTTAAAAAAAAAAAAAAAAAAAAAAAAAAAAAAAAAAAAAAAAAAAAAAAATTTGATTATGAGAATCATTAAATTATTTAGTATTAATTATTAGAGTATCAACTGCACTATGGCAATATTCATAGATTTGTTCAGGTGCTACACCCTAAAATACAGAAATGAGAAAATAAATAAACAAATAATTTCAAGTGCAAGCATATTAAATGTGTGAATATAAAAATCACAAATGAACAGAAAACTGCCAAAACCAAAGTTTCACCTGTGCAAGAGGGCAGACGAGCCCCAGCTGGCAGTTGCAAAGGAAGCGCAGGAACTTGTTGGCTGTGATGCTTCAATTGACTCCAATTTGATTGCTGGTTCCAACTCTCATGCCGATCCTCGTCTGAAGTTTCTGGAGAGAAACATGGCCACCATCAGTAGCGGAATATTTGGAGCATCATCAAATCAACTATACAACAGAGTCCATACATGCTTTAGAACAAATCTTCATACAACTTCATGTTTCTTCTCACTTAAATAAGGTGAGAATACACATTCTAGAAAAGTAAATAGAATTATAGAATAATATAGGACTGCAATAAGTCAGTTTATCCTTTTCTATGTACTTATTCAAAGTGAAGACAATATAAACTTCATTCACACAACCAAAGAACTAAGCTGAGCGAGAACACAAAAATATGATGCCTACCTCCTGAATTTTAATAAGTCAAATTGGGTAGTATTTCCAGAGTTCAAATACTACAAAAGTAATTAATTGAAATAATCCAAACAAATTTTGAAATAAAAATTAAAAAAAAAATCATCAAAAACTGTAGAAAAATAAAATCTTCATGCAAGACCCACACGGTATAAGATGCCTAGTGATCAACACATGATATAAAATATAGATACTGTTGTAAAGCATAAAATGGAAGCGAAAAGATAAATAAAACAAGTAGAACACACAGATATTACGTGGTTCAGCTAATAGGGCCTACATCCACGGCACAAAGAGCCCAAAGGGCTACATCACTTTTATAATACTCTCTCAATTCATACACAATACAATGGTGGAGGCTCCTTTATATAGGAGAAGAAATAAAGAGAATGGAAAGAATTAGAAAACAGGAAACAAGGAGGATTTTTCTCCACTGATTCCTCTAGTAACACCAAATCTTCAATAGGTACATAACTTAGAATCTTCATGAGAGTGTTTATCACTAGGTATATCTTATACTGGTCTTGCAGGAGATGCCTTCCTCTTGAATTTCAAATATAGATACATAATTATATTTTCCATTTTTATTATGTAATATAAAAATCGATTAGAACACTTTTATGTGCATAACAAAGACCAATAACTGCACTAGTAAGAAAGAATGGCATGATCTACATTAAGGGTTCTACTAGGGGAAAAGGAGACTGAAATTAGCATGAACTGAGATAGTAATGACAAATATGGTTTACCCCCAAATGGTTGGTACTTGGTAGAAGCAGTTTAGATTTGAAACCAGATGAGTTACTAAACATGCAATACTTAAAAAAATACATCCACGTATATTAAAATTTATAGCTGGACAGAAGGCGAGTGGGGGAACACCCGCCCCCACTTAATTTTTTTTTTATATATATTAGATACTCAGAATCTTGTTCAATTTGAATAATGCCCCCACTTAATTTTTGGTAAAGTTCCTCTATATATACTTGTGTCCAGGCCACCCATAGCCATTGTCTCTCTCAGTCAAGCACAGAGTCATAATAAGTTGTCTCCACTCAATTTTCTTTTTATTTTATTTTGATATATATGTTTTTCAAAAATTATAAAGTTGCAACCTCAAAATTTCTTCTCGCCTCTGGAAAAATTACAATTTAGCGATTGAGAAATGATATTTACATCACTGATGCACTCTTTCATTTCAATTATGTTGCTTTAAAAAAAAATGAATAAAGTGTAAAAAAATTTTTAAAAAAAAAAAAAAAAAAAAAAACCCTGCTATAAAAAAAATGTGCAAAATACACCCCTACTATTTAGCATGTGCATATAAATCCTTAACATTTGAAATTTTGTAGCAAATTTCCCCCTGATTGTCAATTTTGACCATATTTTTTATATAAAAAACCAAAATACCCTTGATAAAAACATAAATTAGAATTAAAAAATTGAAATAAAATTTTTTTTTTTATTTAAGGGAATTTTAGGTATTTCAGTCTTCAAATTGAGAAAATGTCCTTATTTAATCAATTTGAAAATTGTAAGGGGAGTTTTGAACATCAGGGGTGTACTTGCACATTCTATATATAGCATGGGCTTTTTTGCACTTTACCCAAAAAATAATGGCGTAATTATCCTTCGAAAGCACACTCACTCCACAAATTTATTAAAACAAAAAACAATTGCACTCCACAAGGTAATTGTTCCTTTTCAAGTGGATTGCAAAAATATAGATTAGGGTGTAAATGTTAAAGTACTTTAGTAATCAAATTAAAAAATAATTTTTCTTTAGTGGTAATGTTATGTCTGAGATGAAATTATTGGTTAATTTTATTGTTTTACAGTGACAAGGACCATGATAATTTTTACTTAATTTTTAGCATGATTATTGCCTTAGGACCTCCAATATATTAAAAACCTGGGTTCATTTCAGTTTTATAATCATTTTAAACCTAAAACTATTTCTAAAATATAATATTAATGAGAGTTTCAAAAAATTTTAAAATGCCAAACCTTTTTCCAAAATTTCATGAGCCAGTCTGAACATTTGATCACTGCACTGATTCATGGAAAGTTCAAATCTGAGGTTATCAACCTCCCGGATGTAAAGATCAATAGCCATCCACCTGGATAAAAGAGAGACATCTCTTGTGACCTGCACAACAAGAAAAAATAATTTGATGTAATAAACTTGATGGACACTGTGAAAATAAAACTAGATTCACTCAAATTCTAAACACAGATTATGAGCACTATACTAATAATAAAAAATAAAAAAACTGTATGGTCTAATCTCTCTGCCTGGGTCCGTGACCAGCTACTCTTAGTCCCATATTTAGTAATTCCCGAACGTTTTCTACCGCTGCCCTTTTCTTGGCTGAAAGTAACTACCGATCAATTTGGTAACCCAAGCAAGGGAAGTCACCATGGAGCAGGAAGTCCAATTGCCCTTTGATAAGTAGCTCCGGAACAGCTTTAGGTCAAGCAGTTGGGTTCCGACTAAAATAGGTCTAATCAAATCTTGCCCTATTTTTAACAATATAGTCAGGTCTGACAGTGACAAAACTGGCTTAACCCATCAAGAATACTGAGTATTGTCTTTTCCATGCGAATAGACAATTTATGAGAAAAAGGCACACATGTTAGGCACCACAGAAACCATAGTTAGTAGCAAAAACAACTTTTCATAGTTTTCTGTGAAAACAGGAATTCCAAAAGTTGTGGGGCTTGCAGTTTGTCTCCATGCAGCCATGCTTAACAATTTGATAATTCAAGATCTCGACAGAAAGTAAAGTTCCTTATCTCGAGAAGAAAGCAAAATTATACACATACAAGAAATGCACCACTGAAATTTGTTTGAAGGATGCAAAATCAACACAGTTTTTTCGTCAATATATGCAGATAATGAATTTCTAAAGCAGTCAATGAATCAGCATGCTAGGCACCAAAAACTGAAAATAATGCAAGCAATTTAAAACTAATCAACACTGTTTTTTCGTCAATATATGCAGATAATGAACTTCTAAAGCAGTCAATGAATCAGCATGCTAGGCACCGAAAACTGAAAATAATGCAAGCAATTTAAAACTAATAGGAAAGAAACTCTAAAATTTAAATTCTTTAAGAATAAAAACTAAATATGATATTCTATGAATATATAAAATTTATAATTAAATAATAATCACCCTATCTATTAGGGTTGGCAATACTTGGCACGACGTATTAATATGACTCGAACACGATGACATGGGATAAGTGAATTTGGGTTTGGTTTAATCGTGTTTGGGTTGTAATCATGTCAACACGAATTGACACGATAAGTAAACATGTGTTCGTGTTTGACCCATCAACTCGTTTATAACCCAATTAGACCCGTTTTACTAAACATGTTATGTTCGTGTTAGAAATGACCCATTTAACTAAAATTTGAATTAAATGTGTCTTGACACAAATAATAATTGTATTGCATTCGTGTCGACCCATATAATAGGATACCCATGTCATGACACAAATACAAAACGGCAACATAAATTGCCACCCCTACTATTTATTTGGAGAAAGCCATAACAAGTATACAACACATAAGTCTATGGATTTTTATGTATTTATGTGGATGTGTATATGAATCCATATGCACAATAACTCCTCTTGCTTTAAGTCCCATGCTTACTCTTTTAAACTTTTAGTAGAACTTGTAGGAAATACTTTTATTTTTTGAAATGATAAAAAATTTCATGAAATTTCTATGAGAACCAATAATAAATTTTTTTTTTTCAGATAATTATTTAAAACCTTATGCAGTGTATAATGTCCATGATAGCAAAGTATCTATAAGTGCCATGCACGTGTTCAAAATTTAAGAAATTTATTTGTAAATTACTGTCACATCTAAAAATGTGACGAACACATCTGAAAGTCTTCAAGAAATGCTTGTGTACAACATGTGCCCAACACGGATACGGCTCTTCCTTAAAAGCATTCTTGTTTCTTAGTTGTCAAGGACAACACCAACAGCAATAAAGTGCGGATAGTATGCAATATTCTGATGCAATGAAGAATTTCCTTTTGCTTTTTCCTTTTTGAGTTGAGAGAAATGTAGACTATATAATAAAGACTTTCTTATAAGTTGTTAGTTAGACCCCTAATGCTTGCTTGTAAGATTTCTCTGAGTTAATGGTCACAAACAAACATATCAGATTGTTTAATTTTTCCCCTTGTTTCAAACTACAGAGATCCCAACTAGAATACTGAAAAGAGGGCATTTCTAAAATAGCTTATGCTAGTCCATGTGTGACATTTGCCAAAAAAAATTGACATTAATTTTATAAACTAATCTGCTCAAGACACTACATTCTTGTATGACATAATTAATCTATTACCCAAAGCCATGAAATATCTCCCAACTCTGACATTTTTTTGCTTTAATAAATCGGGTTCACCCAAATAAGAGGGCAGATTTTATTTGCAAGTAGGAATAATTGATTTACAAATGAACCGCTCTGCTTATAGAAACGCCTATACCTTGCCTCAGGTGGTATATAGGTGAAGTGGGAAGGGATATGTCTAGGTTTCAATCATAATTAGCAAAAGGAAAAAGTGTGTGTGTGTGTATATATATATATATACACACACACATTTATATGCATATATAAAAAGAGGAAAGAAAAAAAAAAACCAAGGCCTCAGTTAAGGGGGTAAAATGTTCAGGTCGGTTGGGCTAGGTCTTTGTTTGGGTCTTACCTACGAAAAGAGGAGAAGAAGAAGAATAGCTGAGCAGATGTAAGAAGCCTCACCTTTGCTGTTACATTTGGATTTCCATCTCTGTCACCCCCCATCCAAGATCCAAACTTTATCGGTGTGCATGTCAATGGAAGTGGCCTTCCAGTATGCTAAGAGGAAGAACAAAAACAAAAAAAAAAAAGGACACAATGATAGCACCGAGTACAGTATATTCGTCAAAAGGAATGATCCGGGAAATACAGATTAAAAAATACCTTCTTAAGAGCATTGCTGACACGACGTAAATAGTGAGGTATAGCTTTCCAAAGGGACTGCTCCACAATGTGTAAGCCTGAAAGAACAATATATGTGTTTCTTAGATAAACAAAGCAATAACTATTTTATAATAAAATGGTCACATAGCTTACCAGCCCTAGCTTCATCTACTGGTGTAGGTTTGTGGCGCCTAAGCTCATCTGTTTGCCATATAGAAGTTATCTCTCTCACCTACAAAATCCAGAATGATTTATAGACCATTTAAAACATTCAAAAGTAAAATAATAATCTTTTTCGTCATTTTTATTTGAAGACAAGCACCAGGTCTTCTATCAGCATATCACGATCTTCAAAGCCAAGATCAGGTCGGTCATTATACTCTAAAAGATGCTGCAAAAAGTGACCAAGTTCACAATCAAAATTATGCAGTAATATGACCCCAAAAAAAATTAAGATTTTTCACATGTTAACCAAATATTCATATTGCAGATTTAACTTTTACCGCAATTCTAATATGTTTGTATTGTAAAGTACGCCGGTTAATTTGAGTAGGATGTGCAGTCAGCACAATCTCAACTTCCTGCAGCAACGAAAACCAGCATTACTAAGCAATATACAAGAAAAAACTTCTAAACATAACTGTGCTAAAAAGGTGATATACAATGTAGAAAATGAAAGTAAAGACCTGCTTGCAAACAGTGTTGTAAAGATCGTCTGGGGAAACTCCACCTTGCACCAGCTGATTAAAAATGTCATCACAAGATTTCGACAAGTGTGCCACAGTCCGATTCTTGCGTACTCTGCATGAGGAACAATTAGTCTGCAAGACAGTTCTAGGCAGATCCCTATTATTTTGACACTACATAGATCAAAAGACTTGCTCAATACAACACAATTATTTCTACTCTTGCAGAATATGCAGCATCAAAGCTATAAGAAATTGCCATTAGAAAGAAGGGGCTTGTAATTAAGAAAGGAATGTAAGGACAAAAAGGTATTTATTAACCATGACCATTAGGACTAATTCAGAATTCTAAGTATCAGCCCAGAATAATTCGCAAATGCAATTTGTTAGGCTACAATAATATAATTTTTTCAACTTGTGGGATACTAAGTAACATTCATTACTAGTTTTTACAATGGTACAAAAACTCAACTCAACCCAAAAAAGACTTGTCCGAGCCAATTGGGGTCACAGCTAATTGTTACAATGACAACGAAGGTAAATTGAAAAGTTCTCAAATTCTAAACAAGCCTGTATTTCTTATAGTTCTAAATGACAACTGAAATCAGAAACAAAATGCTAATAGGGCTACTGGAATATCAATAAGGTTTACCTGTGGTGGGTTTCAGCAATACCCATCAAGTTGAGGTAATGACTAAATGCTCGAGCAAAGCTCAAAGCTTCTTCTAGTGTCATTTTTGATAATTCAGACGCCAGTTGCTTCTCGAGCAGCTCAGCTGTGTCCTCTATCCCCGCCATCCTCATATTACAAGCGCTCTGAACCCACAAAACCCCCAATATAATTGTTTCTCAGTATCTTCAAAGCGCATCATAAACTCACACATTTATACAACGCACACACCTATATATTTTTTTTTATAGACACACAGATGCACGAACTAACATGTACATGAATGTGCATATAACCAGATTAAAAACACTAGACCCTCCAGATTTCGTTCTAGCTATATCCCAATTTACGATTGAAGAAAAAAACTCTTATAAGAAGCTTAAAACAGGGCATGATAATGAAACTATATCAAATGGTACATATAGATTTGTGAAATCATCAGTGCGATGAATAGTGCATCTGCAGAATTGAATGAAATGGAGACGAATTACACAAGTACAAGTGTGAGTACTTGAAGAATGACTTGTATTATTTGTATATACGAGTATGTTTTTTTTTTTCCATATAAAAACAGATGCACACACTAACATGTACATGAATGTGCATAGGACCAGATTAAAAACACTATGCCCTACAGAAATCGTTCTAACTGAATACACAATTCACAATTGAAGAAAAAGTTATTATAAGAAGCAAAAAACAGGGCATGATTATGAAACTGTATAAAATTGTACATATAGAAAATCTATACACATGTATTGTGCAATATGTATAAATAATCGGTGCAGAATTGAATGAAATGAAGACGAATTACAGAAGTACGAGTGTGAGTACTCGAAGAATGACTTTGTTAGTTGAATCAGGAAACAAAGACCAGAGCATGATAATGAAACGGTATAAGATGTACATATAGATTGGTGAAATCTGTGTGTGTGTGTGTGTTTTGTGTAATATGTATAAATCATCGGTACAGAATTCAAAGAAATGGAGACGAATTAAAGAAGTACAAGTGTGAGTGGTTGAAGAATGAGTTGTGAGTTGTGAGTTGAATGAAGAAACAATAACCTGAGCAAGAACTCGATTTCTTTCAACTTTTTCCATGAAGTTGCTACCGACTTCTCTGTGCAAAACGTCGTTGAAAAGGCTACTGAGTAGTCTGAAGTCATCGTCGAAGCTCTGGAACGAAATCTCCTCTGCTATGTCATCGGTGATGTCAGCCATTGTAATCGGAACAGAGCAGTACTAGAAGATGAAGTGCAGAAGAAATATATCAATATACATACATATCTATATATATATATATAGAAAGAGAGACAAATTAGAGAGTTGAAAGGAGAAGAAGTTGCAGAGAAAAGTGAGAGTTTAGAGAGAGAGAGTGTGTGGAGGAGCTGTTAATGGAGAAGTTGGAAGAGAGAGAAACACTGAATAGTAATATTTGTCGTTCTGTTGGAGACTGGTGAAGAAGAATATCACATGTGGAGCTGAGATTTACCGTATCAACCACCAAGAATATGGTAACATTTGTCACTTACTGCGGAATTGGTGGGACCGTTTTGGTACGACCCACTGATGTGACCAGGTGATTCCGAAAATCACTAATCAATGCACAATACTTTATTAATGTACTCTATATTTATTTATACACCGGTACATCATTAAGCGTTTATTATTTTAAGCTCCCCAAATTCATTTCTCCCTGAACGCCAAAAAGTTATTTAAAAATATTAGTAATGTATTCCTATTAGTATTATACAACATTTTATACAAGATGAGAACAAAATTATTATTTTATAAAATTTGTCGAAAAAGCGGTCAGAGTTACATTGAGGTCAAAGTAATAAACTTTGACGATGAAATCAGATATAATTTGACTAAACTTGAGATTAGTATATTTTTTTTAATTTTCTATTATTGACAAATACACACACACACCATTTTGACATTTCGAGAGGTCAAATCCTTAGCATCCACTTTAGGAAGTAAATGAGAGACTTTTAGGCTTGGTTTGTTTCGACCCAAAATATTTTTCTTTTTCAGGTCGAAAATATTTTTCTTTTTCTGGTAAAATATTTTTTTATTTTTACTTTTTTAGTGTTTGGTAAAAGTCTACTTCGATTGAAATCGAATCTATCAGGCGGAGCATGTAAAATAACTTGTCAAAAATTAATAAATAAGTTAATTTTATTAAATTTTAATTTTTTTTTATTCATAAATATTTTATGACAACCAAATACCAATATATATATATATATATATATATATATATATATATATATATATTCTAAAAAATATTTTACTTTCAAACAAACGAAACCTTAAATTAGTGTCAAATTTCATACTTCATTAACGAATACAAACAATCTTTTTATTTCTCATATATCGATCAATTATCGAAAAAATGTTCTCTAAAGAAGTTTTACCTCCAAAATGCGAGATGTGAGTCTTGGTTACTAATTTATTTCTATATAAAAATTATACATTTTTATCATATTTTGTGTAGAACACAATACTCATACATAGATGTTGTTCAACATTGAGTTAGGTTCAAACTTGGAAAGGGTTAGAAAAGTAGTTAAAGTAAGAATTGGGTAATTATCTCATGTTTATTTTAAATTTTGAGAAGAGGATGGGACTGTAAACTTTCAAATAGATATGGATTTGAAAAATAAACGATAAGGTAGCTAGTGAAGTGTTTTATCTGTACTATTTTCTGGAACTAGAAAATTCTATTATTATGATATTTGTTTTCCTTCTTACTATCATCTTTCTTTATATGATTGGATAACTTAAAAAAGGTCATTTCATTTGTTGCTTTCGTTAATCGAAGGGTATTTTAGACAATTTGAGCACAAACGAGCAAGTCTGTTACAAGGTGCACATCAGACCCATTGTCACGAAAATTAATATAATTTTAAATATGAACCATATTGACAGATCACATTATCAAGTTGCTGTTTTAAACTGCTTATCATAATAATACTAATAATGTCAAAAGACCTTAGAATAAAATTATATGAGCTGCTTGAAGGTGACGGTTTAGTTTTGTTAAAAAATAAATAAATAAATAAAAGGATTATATGATTTTCAGTATGAATTATGGTTGTGAATACATATATATATATATAGAGAGAGAAAGAGTCCTGATCTCTTGCTCCCCATGGAGTAAGAAAAATAATTCACACTTTCTAACGGTTATTTTACAAACCCACCTATGGAAAACCACTCTCACCTTATTTTTAGTTTCTACAATTAATTTTATCATTACCACCCACTGTAACAATAAAAGATAATTATCAAAATAAAAATAGAAACCTTTGAAAAAAAAATCTATTCCCGTATATTTTACTAATAAATTTGTTTTTATTTAAATGTTTCTTTGAAAGAAAAATAATACCCGTATATTGCTAAGAGGCTTGATAGTGTTGGGGTGCCTGGTTTTTTTTTCAGTTTTTATTTTAAACCAACTTTGAATGAGAAATCAAAGAGTAAGATCACTTGGGAGAGTAATGGGGTTGGTGGGTATGATAAATTAGACTTAAAACTTGATGTTTTCATGGTTCAGCATGATATAGAGAATATGCATATATGGGTTTTCAAGGAGAGGTCTGAAAATGTATTGAAAAAGATGCAGCTGAGATGTTAAGCAGTATGCACGATTCCGAGATTTAGAGGTGTTTCATGTTATTTCATAACCAAAGCTTTCATGAAAAGAAGTATTATTGTTATAGTTATTTGTGCGTGTATGTGTGAATAACAATATTATACAACTGAATAATGGAATCATATGACATTGACTTTATTCAAAATTGTTAAAGCTTAAACTAAATAAAATGAAAACAAAAAATCTAATCTCTTCGTAAAGCGATGAAACTTAACAAAATTTAAAAACATTTAATCCTCCAAGTCTTAAAGTAAACTCTTCCACGACAAATAAAAGTAAAGTTATAGGAATTAATATTTTTTCAAAGGTTTCTATTTTACCTTTTATAACTATCTTTTTATTGTTATAGTAAATGGTAATGGTAAAATTAATTATAGAACAAAAAATAGGGTGATAGTGGTTTTGTGTTAAAAGGAAAGATCATGGTGGGTTTGTAAAATGGCCGTTAGATTTAATGTAACGGTCTATATAAAAAGTGTAAATTATTTTTCTTATTTCATGAAAAACAAGAGATCAGAACTCTATATATACCTATATAATACAACATAAATAATTAGAGACTAGAAATGGATGTGCAGGGACTACATGTAATTTTTTGTCCCAATTTTGCTGGGCCACGGTCTATGACTCCCTTATCCTCTTATGGCGCCGCCCCTAAATTTGTCATTTGTGTGTATATGTGGATATATGTGTGTGTGCACTCCGTATATAAGCTAGGTTCACAAATCACTGTGGATCTGATATTGGACTCACAAATGTCCAAAAGAAAACATGTAATGTGAATATCACATTTTTTATAAGAGTTGAATAATGGAACATTATTTATTTATTTATAATTTTTTTGTTATTATAATTTTTAATTTTGTTTTTTTTTTTTTCTGGTATAGTTGGCTTGTTATGTCAATACTAGTTTAATGTAAAAGAAGAAAAAAAACTAGCTTCATAATATGCAGAGAGAGTTCTATACTGATACTTCAAAAAAAAAAAAAAAAAAACAGAAAAAAACTATACTGATAAGTTCAAGGTGTGGGAGACCACTTGTACAATTTTAGGTGGGACCTACACCCCACTCTTAAGGCTCAAAACTTTATCCTTATTACTGGGAATGAACTTTACACTGTGTGTGACAAAAATAATTGTGTCTTATTATTTTAAATTTGGTACAATTATGTAATTTTTGTATCTCAATAAGCTTTTGTCCTTTTGCACAAAAGGAGTAGACAAAATCTCTTTCAATCCTCATTGTCATTGCCAAAATCCATGGACCTGTTGGATTGATTGAATCGCTTGCACGCCTCCTCGAGATGAAAATAGCGTATGTGAGACCATTTATTATGCTTTCATGTAAGTCTTCGTCGTTGCAAAGTCTATTGAAAGTTGAATATAAACCAATTTCAGCTTTATGAAAAAGATTTTTGATTTTAGATTAGTCACCTTCAAATCATAATAGAATAAATTTATCGTTCCACTAAACTTATTCTTACGAATGACTCTTTTATATACTGTGAGTTAAATAGGTTGTGGCTATTGTTGAATCAATAAGCGTGACATAATACTTTATCTAAATTTTTACTTAAATTAAATTTATCAAATTAAAAATAAATTAATCACCGCACAAAGTAAAAATAAATACAAATAAAGTAGAGTTTGAGAGACTGGGATTTTAGTAAGGAAACTTTGATGGGTGAAATCAACCAATCGTATGAAAAAAATATCGAGAACTTTCAAAGTCGTAAGCAAAACAAACCACTATAGTAGAAGCAAAATACAATTGACTATTGATTCAAACTTACACCCCTTGAACCACTTACTCCCTTGATTCCTGTAAAAAGATCGCTGATAGATCAACAATACTCCATGAATGTTTTGACCCTTTCAAAGTGTGATCATCTTTTCTTTTTCTTCAAATCTAAATTTGATGAAGATTAATAACAACTTTGTGTTTGATCCATCCTAATTCACTCTGGTGTATATAGTATGTATGAATTTCACTATAGCTCTCTAAGAATGTTGAAAATTGTATGCAAAAGCCATAGATTACCCTCAGTGAGAAAATGTGTTTATATAGATTTTTTGAAAATCTAAATATACTTGGAAAATAAGTTTAGTTCGGGCATAAAATTCTCTCAAAAATCTGATAAAAAAAGGTAATCTAATCGGAGTGGGAGAACAATTTCCAATTTGACTTCAAGGAAGCACAACCGGTTCGATTTGGCACGACTGGTTTTGCGTGGGCAGTGAGTCATACTTTCAACGAGTTGCGTTTTAGGGTAACTGTTCCATAAGGGTGGTGCACTTTTGTAAAACTGTTGTTTGAAAATTTTTTCAAGTGCCTATGCTTAAAAACTCAATAAAGATGGAAATAAAATGTCTTCACTCGTATCTTATCTAATAATATGTCATTCTCATCAAATAGTTGACATTATACCACTTCTTCAATTCCGTTTTTGACCTTTAGACTCAAAAATCAAATTATAATTATAATTTGATCGAACTTGTTTTTGATATCGAAATTTTATTAATTTTAATATTATATCTCACATATAAAACAATTAAAATATATAAGGGAAGCAAAACGAGCATGCTCATTTGGAGAAAGGTTCATGTCCTTCGAGAAACTCCTCCATTCACTGAGATGTTACTCAATTTCATTGCATGTACAATCCAATAATACACAGATAGATATAGACACTGACAACAAATAATTGCAATTATATGCTACTTGAAAGCAACTTGAAAATGGTCCCAAGGAGGGCTTTCCACCAGACAAAGTAAGGTGTCATTCTCAATCAAAACTCCAAAACGACAGTTTTCGACCACCTTCCTTCCATTAATTTATTTGGGTATTGAAAGCAATGTTGTCCTGGGTTTGGATGGACATGCATAGATTGGAACAGAAAAATAAAATATAAATAGAAGTACCACTCAGTACATTACCTTTTCTTTTTCTTTTTCTTGTTTTTAGTGCATCCACAGTCATACTTTTTTTTTTTTTTGAAAATATCGAGAGTCATACTTCTACATGTATCTTCCACCTGGAATCATTATTGGATATCCTAAATTCCAGATTCTTTTATCATTTGTATCTTGAAAGACCAACAAATTCAAATCAAACCAATAATCACGATAAAAAAAAAGTAATTACGTTAAACAAAGAAGGCAAAGATATATACGTGATTCAACAATAGCTTACGTTTACAGTTGAAATTTGATGAAAGTTTTTATATTGTGTAAAAATTGAATATTACAAGTTTTCAGTCCCTACTTTGTTTCTGTACAAATTTCAAAGTCTCTCTCTTCCACTACTTCAAACCGTAAACGCCTTTATATATTAGACTACAAGAAACTAATTAGAGTCCACGACCTATGAACAAAAAATGAATAAAAAATTTTCTTCGGAGACAAGCCCCTGAACCTCCAAAGCTTTGGTTAGACCCACAAAAAATTCATTCAACGAGTCGTCAGGTAACAACGCTACCCGACACGAAATTCGGGCCATAACAACACAATTTGCCTTGTTAATAAATTATATATATATATATATATTGCTTTATGGTACTTCTCTTCAAAAAGGCTCACCATATCATCTGCTAGTACACTGAGTGTGTACACATAAATTTTGTGACCGGAAATCAATTTTTTTTTTTTTTTTTTTTTTCCCCGTTGTGACCGGAAATTTAAGGAACGAAAATGCTAATGAATAATTAATTTTATTAATTTAGTTATTAGGGTCTTAGATCCTTGGGCTTGGGCTTGGTGAGTAGACTTTCCGAGGTGAGACTAAACTAGGGTAGTCTCTTCTGAGGTTTATTGTATGCCCCGGGTAAAACGATAGACGAATGCATGAATCTTAAGAGCAAGGGTTAGAAATGACAAGTATATTCCTCTTCTTTGCATGGCCTACTACTAGAAAAACTGCCTAATCTTTCTTCCTAAACAGTCTCCAAAAAAAAAAAAAATTATTCCAGTCAAGTGCAGTAATTTTCTCTTGAAAAAGAGAGTGAATATTGTATTTAATTACTGTTTATCCATTGAAGTAAAAGACAGGTCCTTTTTGATACATGGTACATAGTTTAATTTTACATATCTAGATGAGGGAACTGTATGTGTTGCCTGCATAGAAGCTATGTAAAGCTGCTTATGATTCACAATTTGAACCACAGATTTAGCATCCATTTCTATCCGAACCGAAGTGAAATTACAGCTTTGAAGAACCACCTTAGAACATTAGGATCACAGATATATGGGAAAATTTAGCGTAGCTGCAGCAACAAAATTTCCATCGTGATCTCTAATATACAGACCACCACCAATCTCCGCTTTCAAAAATACTAGACCAAGGCTCCCCAACAAATAAATAATATACCGAACAGAGCTATTTCTCTCTCTATATAATTTAGTTCATAACTCAATCTCTATATATAAAAAGAAATGATGTGATCACGAGACAGCCTAAGAAAATTCAACAAATTTGCCCTAAATAGCAATCGTACAATTTCTGAAATTCCCCAAATCACAGTTGCACGATTTCTGCAATTTTGACTGACTGTTGTACTCCTAATTCATCGCGTCGGCTACTTCGAATTCATGGCAATCACTGAACTTTGCCTGAACTCACATTGCGTCATCTTGGTAGCGTCGCAACACTTCGCATCACCACCTCTGACATCGACTCACGTCATCTACTCTGTTTGCACCTGTTCTGTTCATCTTCAGCAATTAGTCCATCTCATCACACCAAAAACACATACATTAAGTTATACATATATTGGCAAGTACATACACATATATATACAACATATATATATATATTATTACATGAACAGAAAAAAAAAAAGAGAAGAATCCGGCAATAACCAATGAAAAACCCAAGTCAGGCCAGCTTCACAACACTGAAGAAGTAAAAATAATTGCAGCCATCATCCTTAAACCCAAATCGGGAGAACTTTATAGCAAACCACCAGAAATTTACAGTAGAGAGAGAGAGAGAGAACATACGGTTGAGAGAGAGCAAGGATTTTAAACGACAACTCCTTAGCGTCTTTTTTTAAGTGACCTTCAGTTCTCCATGTTTTCTAAATTCTCAGTTCATTGTTTCCAAAACAGCTCTAACTCTAAGTAGTTCTCTAAATCCCATACTCCTGTAACTCAGTTTTACAAAAACTCATTTTCAAAAACTGATCCAAGCAGTTTAAAAATGAATTTTTTTACTTACCCATTTTTTTTTTTTTTTTTTTGGTTTTTGTCACTATGAAAACAGAAAATTGTTTTCGCAGGGTCATTCCAAGCAAAGCCTAATACTCTACGTACACTGAGGTTTTATGAAGGAGAACAGAGAGGAGTTGACTTGGAACCAATTGTTCCCCATGAACCTAAAGGGTTTAAAGAAGTTGAAGCTGCATTAAAGATCAACAGCAGCTTTGATGCATATGGTGGTGGACTTGTAGATTTGTTGTGTGCCACCATATGTCTAGACAAGTTCTCAACGGGAATGGTGATCGCGACAACTCCGCGTTCACATACGTTCCACAGACTGCCTGTTCAAATTAATGCTGAAAACCAATTCCTGCCCAATCTGTCGACCAGTTTGCAATGTATTGATATAGTTCATAGTATACCAGAAAATCCATGGGATGTGGCCTAAATGCTGTTTTAGGTGTATGTCATAGAAAAATAGGACAGGATAACAATAACCGTACAGAACATATGATATATAGTTAATTTCAATTATGATAACAAAAACTTTCCTCATGAAAAAGCATCTAACAGAATGGTGTTACCTGCCTCACATGAATGAGCAAATTGCACAGCAAAGCAAGCTGTATACTAAAAATCAAATCCAAATGCTTCCGAAGGCTTCTTCAAGGGCCCGTTTCTTGCTAAATTCTAGACTCCAACCTCCTGCCTTTCCACCTCTCTCTGCTCGGAGTCTCATCATTTCTTCATCATCAAAAGCATGCCCTTGCATGCCAATCCCAGGTCCAATCGGGACAGGTTGTGAGGCCATGCTTGTGGGGCGTGGCTGTGCAACTCCAGCAATTGCAGGTGCATAAGGTCCCTGGAAACCAGCACCAACGCCACCTTGAGAGCTCTGGCTTGTGCTCTGCCACAATAAAGACAAAAATAGTTGAGAATATGTGAAACCCAAAGGCGAATTCCTCCATCCAACTACTATAGTGTGTTCAGGGACAGTGATTGGGGGAAGTTCTAGTGAAAACAAAAAAAAAAACAAAACAAACCCCAAAAAAAAATGACGCTAATTATCGTTAACCACCTATGCAATACAGCTCCTTCCTAAATGTATCTTTTTTGGTTCTAATATCTCATACAAACTTTAATGACTTTTAAAATGGAGTCTCTTTAGAATTTTCCATACTTGTACATTCTTGACCAGTGGAATAATAGTGGTTCAAGGAAGATATTAACATAAAATAACGGAAACAACATTCATCCACTTCCAACCCTTCTATATCCAAAAGCACCCTGTTCTGAGCTTCAGTTCAGTTTTTCTTTTTCCCCGATTTTTCCTGGTTCTAAAATGAAATGAACCAGAACCACAACCACAATAACTGATATCAATCATGCGTTCATTAATAATCATATCTACCTCAATTTTAGCCAACAAGATATACATTATCAGCTTTATATTTCCTAAACATAATAAGAACATATCATATAAAGAGTAATAAAAAGCTGAGGTCATGCCTCAGCCGTTGAATCAAGAGGCAGTGAGTGTTATGAGAGTGCCCCTCCCCATCCAACAGCTGACACAAGAACGTTGAGAGCGCTTCATGATAGACTGACTGACTCAAAAATGTAAACAATTTTCACTCAAAATAATATTAGACTCGCTTGCTTATTATTGCATTAATTTACTAAATTAGATCAATGAAACAACCGTTCCTCATTCCTTTTTTTTTTATGAGAGCATGATAAGATTTTATAATATATAAATCTTAGTTATTAAAAGGCCATTGGAAATATAGATCTCCCCTGAAAATGCTAATTCAATTTTCTATTTCATTTATTTATTTATTTTTGGTTGTTTTACTAAAAACTTTGAAACTAGATAACCATTTTAAATGATACTGGGTAATTGCAGGGTACCAACTGATTACCCCACATAGATCTGATGCTTAAGTATTATGGAGTCTGACTACCCAGAACTGAACCAAAAGCATTCGGTCTCCTTCAACTAAATTGGATCTTAGGGTAGACGGGTACCAAGTCAAAGTTCCACACAAAGTATGAATGTTTGAACATATGGATCAGACGGTTAAGAAAAGATGAAAGCATAAAATACTCAATCTAAAGATAGCAAATTTCCATGGCCGACTGATCAGCTAAGTCATCTTATGCATTACTGTTTGAAACTCCTGAGGTAAAATGCATTGAAACAACAGTATAAAGAATATGTCAAGGACATAAATCCACTTCTCATCATATAATTGATAGTTGAAACAACAAGAAGATCAATAATCACCATCCCCTTCCCCCCCCCCCCCCCCCCCCCCCCCCAAAAAAAATTAAAAAAAAAAAAAAAAAAAAAAAAAACCTCTTTGTTTTGGTAAGCCACACACCTTTTTCATTCTCTAGTTGTTTCTTTTAAAGTTCGAACTTTCACTGACTGACTGACAAGTTGAAAGTGCATGTAGAGTTGCAGGAACCAGGATAACAATAGTGAATATACACTTTCTTTTCCCCTAAATTAGTGAATATAAACTTTTATTACTAGTAACATCTCTGCAGTATTATTGGGTCATCTTATACATTTATAAGTGGTGTATCTGCATAATTATGACTGATTAGCACTAAAGCCTTCAGTTGGCAAAGGGTGAAGTACATCTGCTCCAGCACATAGAAGACAACCTTAAAACAGTTATAAAATTTCAATGCCACAAGAATTCATTACATTTTCTGGAGTAATCTAAGCGCTTCAACTTCATCAGGGGTAGTCTACAACAATAACTTTTGAAAAGGTATTTGGACACAAAGTCACCTTATAAAAATATTAAGAAAATATTGATCATGGTCTTTAACTTACAAGAAGATATATATGTTTTCGTCAAGTGCCCCCTTAAGCCAGAATAAAATAGGAAGCAACTTCTTTGATTGTCACATCTCTAGGTCAGTTTAGTTGCACACCAGCAGCATGATTCGTCTGGATAAGAATTTTGATGACAATATCTCTCAGCAGCTAAAGAGATGCCTAATGCTTCATTCGGTAGGGCAGAAAAAAATTGAATGGAAGGGAGAGAAGAAGGGATGGATGAGACATCCCTAGGAAAGAGATTTTGTCCTTCCCCCTTTTGATTTGGTTGGATGAAAGAGAAGAGAAGAAACTCGCAACTTACTTTGTTCGTTAGGAGAGAAGAGAAGGGAGAGTTTTAAATTGCTTTTTTTACCAATAACTTATATTTGGCAGTTTATCTAATATTTATTTATGAAGGACAGTATTATTTTTAAAAACTTTTACAATAGCTGCACTAGTCTTCCCTCCTCTCTTCCGTCCATATTTGGAGGGATGAACATTTGTGAAGGAGGAAGGATGATTCATCCATCCCTATTATCCTTTATCTCCTTACCTACCGAACGAAGAAGTTTGTTCCTTCCTTCCTATCTTCCCTCCACCCCTCTTCCTTCCTTCCTACCGAACAAAGCATAACTTTCAATTTAACTAGGTTTTTAGAAGCAAATCAGTATTCCAAAGAAATATAAGCACAAAATCCATTCTTTTTCCATTTTTTCAAGAATATAATTTGCAAAGCATAAAAAACTCTCCGTAAGGAGCATCCAGTTCTTTCTAGGAAGGAGAGATAGTGTTAGAGCTGAACATTCAGATAACTTCATTTCAAGGGATAATTGAAGAAGTACAAGCAGTAAAACATTAGCATCATCAATGCAGAACGAAAGAGGAAATTTTATAATGCGAATCAAAAGCAAAAGATAAAAGAGGGATAATTGAAGGTTCAGCTAATGAGCAATCATAGGATTCTTTAGCTAAGTTGAACTAGTCAAGACAAGTCTTTGCTGAGTTGATTCAAGTCACAAACTCATATGCGATCATCTAGGTTTTAGATAACAGGATGCTAAAGCAAATCCAAAAGTTGATATGCCAACTCTAAACAACCCAATAATCTTAAAATTGAAAGAATAACGCCATGCAATAATAAGTGTGAACTAGAACTGCCACTTTTTTCCGTGCGTATAAGAAAAACACAAATGATAATTAATAGTATCTTCTCACCACATCACTATCAATATGTGCAGGCAGTCCCTTGCTTGCTGCCAATGCTGCTGCATATTCTTCAGCCTATCTTAACAAAATAACCAGAATAAGTAACCTCAAAAAAACAAAAATTTGCAGCAAGGATCCAAAACTAACAAATTTTACTATATCTTATTTCAGTTGAAATATTGTCAATGTATGGTACAAAACGATCTGCAATTTCAGCACAAACCTTACGAGCTAGAGCATTCGTTATTTGTTCAGCATTTTCTTTCCTGTACTGCTCAATTTTCGCTTCAATAGCAGGAACATCTATTCCTTCGATCAAGTTGAATGCTGCAAAAGGAAGCATTCATCAAAATAGACTCTTATTTGAATATAGAGTAAGACAATGAACAAACTTATTTAGAGTAAGAAGATAATCAACAAACTCACTCATGTCTTCCACTTCCTCCAAGTAATCATTGTATTCTCTCAGCGATGGAAAATCATCCTCTCTTTTATTAAATCTGTGTAATCGTAAATGGTAAACTACAAGTTAAGAAGAAAACACATGTCTGAACTTTGCCAATCTATGGGAATTAATTGTACTGCTTATTACATATTGATTGGGACTAGGACCAAAGGAACAAAACATAACCAAAGTTGTGAGCTTAATAAAAAAGAATAAACTATAAGAAGATCAAAAAAAAAAAAATACTGAACCCTTAACCCTACTCCTCATATCAGTGAGTAACAGTTGTGTAAGATGTTCAAATTTAATGTCATCTGATTAACTTTCATTCTACAATGATTATCTAGACCCTATGTATCAGATAGTTAGAGTATTGCTTTCTCAAATAAGAAGCTTTTGGATACTGAAACATGAGTCATCCGTGGGACTGGCACCTTTCTGCTTTAGAAAAGATTGTGTGTGTAAACCAAATAAACAGGGACTATGCTCTTAAGTACATCATCCAGTACATGCTCGAAACATGAATCCCACCCCTAGAGGTTCACCAAATCGTGAAATTTTTTATCCTTACTCTTTTGAGTAACAATAAATTTTAAATGAACGTTAGCAATATTTGGAATAACTTAACCGCCACTACACCCCGAGCTTGAACAAAGAATTGTTAATAAATTAGTCGAGTAATTGATATTCTACAAGCATAGCCATGCCCATGTGTGTCCTTGTGTAAACAAAAGTTAGAAAATAACATATGCAAGGGACTCATATGTTCTCGCAGTATCACAAGATTTCAATGAGTCATTGGTACTTTTCTTTTACATTAGAAAATAGATTCCAAGACCTATTTACAATATTCAAACAACAAAAATCAAGTTTCCTCATCTACACTTTCTCGCACCTGCTTTTCAATTCTACCGTTCCAATTCATTGGTAATGACGTTAACTAAGTTTAGATAAATTCAATGATTACGTACATCTTACCCTAATATTAAGACTCAATCATCTGATCCTCAAAATTGCTAATATTATCCCCATTTCAGGGCTCAATTGCATACTGCTGCTACGGATTGTGATTCCTAAACCTACATGCATACATATACACACACATGCACACGTACATATATATGTTACCAAACTTGAAGCTGTAAAAAGGAATGATCATCAGTCAAGAACTTAACAAATCAGACAATATATATACACAAAAGGGCTTATAAATTCATCCTACATGTAATCAATATATATATATATATATAAATAGAGAGAGAGAGAGAGAGAGTTACATGCTGGCAATCTTCCTTCGGATGGCCATCTCCTTGTTGAATGATCCCGAGGTCACCACCATTGTATTATTGTTCAAAGCTTCACAAACCCACGGGCCTGCTTGTAGCATATGAAAGGAAATTCATTATATATATACATATTTATTAAATCTATCTATCTATATCTGTATCTATATACTATTATTAAAAGTACAAAAGTTTCCGATCATTTTTTTTTTTATTTTTGTTATGCATTTTTTATTTTTTATAATATTAATTTTTTCAATAAATGAATAAAAATATAATGTTTCTTTAACTCTTAAAAGCCAAGTAATCTTTTCTAATTCAATTTACTATTTCTCTCAAACTCCATCTCTAACACAAACTCTTCCTATTCTAAAATTAAAATTTTTAATTTTTATAACATTTTTAATTTCAATAAATATATAATAACGAAAAAATTTCTTAACTCTTCAAGACTTCAACAAGAAGTATTTTTTCCTAATTATATTTCTACCTAAAACAAACTCCACTGCTTTTTAGTGGTACACACAGTTCAGTTCGTAATTTGGGACCTTCTAAATTTTTTTTGATAAGTAATTTGGGACCTTCTAAATAACGAGTGTATAATTATCACATATTTATATGTACCGTATAACCTTATAAATTAATAGCGTTGGGACCACATAAATTCTATTAATTAAGCGAGATATTAATTTATCTCAGAAAAAATAAGTTATTAATTTAACAAGATATTTTGTGTACATTATTAATTTTTTCAAAACATTTAGCTTGTCAATAGTCTTAAAGATTCAATGCATTGAACTCATTTAATCAAATTAAGATTCAATGTATTTCAAGAAAACATCATAGTTAGTCCTATATGTACTTCTTACCAAATTATTAATTTATGAAATAAGTGGGACCTGTAGAAACCTATAAGGGAATTTTTAAAATGTATTATCTTATAAATTTAACGGAATTATTAATTTAGTACCTTGGCCCAAGTCGGGACCAACGTAATTTATTATTTAAAAGAGATTATTAATTTATAGAGGTTATACTATAATATATTGGGCTTGGACTGATTTTTTTGCACTGGAATTTGTGATGTAATATTTAGTGTTAGATTCCATAAACTGTCAAAGGTAAATCAATTGTCACCCAATAAAAGTCCTATAAATCTAGACTATATATATAAAGTTCTTCATTCAGATTTTTTTATTAACATGTAGTTATTGGTTTAACATGTAAGAAGGTGTAGTGTACCTGACTGGCAATTTCACTGGTGGAGTTGCTGGTAACACATGCCGGTGAGAAATCGCAACCTTTGGTGAGAAATCTCTTGTGGTGGCTCGGTGTCAGGAGGATTTGGGGCTAGGGCAAGTCGCAGGGCTGAAATCATAATAGACGGAAGATTGATAAGAATTATGGCAACGGGTGGATACTTACTCAAAAAACCACATGTTGCCCTGATCTATGAACATGCAACCACTGTTAGGGTTTATTTCTCTCTTTCTTAGTTTTTAAAGTTATTCTCAACTAATTACACAACCATGTTCTCTGTTCTCTCTGGTTTTAACTATTTTTAGATGAGAAAGGACTGGAGATCAAGTTGAGTTTCATTCAGAAGATCAAAAGGCTACTGGAGAGAAGAAGAAGAAGAAGAATGCATTACCAAATAAGAAACATGTGTTGCTGTCCTGATATATAAGAATAATCGCTCTTGAATAAATCATGTATGTGTGACACATTAGAAATTACGTTGTGTGGCTAGATCATGTACAAGACATGTTACAAATTATGCAATATGTGACCCAAATGGCATTTAAAAGTGTGGCACACGGCATTATGCTTCCTTCTAACTTCTTTTCAATCTCTTATAACTTACCACAAAACAATTTTAATTTCTTCTTGGTTAAGATTCTGGGATTTTATTAATTAGCAATCTAATATCTTGGGAACTTCAATATCTTAGTATTGCTGAAGAGGAAAGGTAGTTTCTTAATGATTTCTAACTGAAAAGCGTGGGACCCATGTAACTCTCTTGCTAAAACACAAAATACATTGATCTTTTTTTTTTATTTGTTAGTACAATACATTAAGAGACAGTATAAAAAGAACATATAATTCAAGGGTTTTGATAAAATAAATTTAAATGAAAAGCTAATAAAAGGCAACTATTTACATCATTTTTGCAGGTTTTGAGAATAGCATCCTGATACCATTAATTATTAGGTGTATTTTCTAAAACATTTTGCATCGGTTTGAAGAAATCCCTAGTGTTCTACAGGGGCAGAGCTGGCAAAGGGATCAAAACTGACTAGGTGATGCATGAGTTTCGACTACCTTCTATCTCTGATTCAGCACTACCCAAGAAGCTTTTAGATAAAAGCTTTTCTGTAAATGTAAGCTTATTGGTTTTTTTTTTTTTTTTTTTTGACTTATCTAACACCATATCGTCAATAAAAACTCATTATTTCCTCATTTGCCCCACAGGATTCATGGGCAATTTGTAGAATATTCAAGAAAGCCAACTCCATGGCACAGAGACCTCTATCTCATTTTTGGGTATCTCCACCTGAAGCCACAACATCTGATTTATTCACTCAAAGTGCATACTCTGCTCAATTCAGTTCAGAGAAAATCTCTGGCACAACTGAAACCGGATCATCCATACAGTTATGCTCCAATAATTACTTACAGCAGGCATCTAGTGCTAATTTTTGTTTTTTCTGGTCTAGGTATCCCCTCCAGCAGACCCTGTTAGTCTCTTTTTCGTATTCCAGATGGAGAATTTCCCAATGGATTCATATTTTCACCTCTTGAAATGTCAGGACCAACTACAAGGTGAACAGTTAATGCCTCTTCTATGTTTTTCAACCTGTCCCCTGCCTTGATGGGGAATGTTAATAAAACCCTAATAATATTAACTTTGAGGGGCCACAACAGCACTTCACCAGCTTCTCAATCAGTTCACTTCAAGATATGCAGGCAAGTTTAGACATTGAAGAGGACGAGGGCTTAAGGAAGAAGAATCCTAGTGAAACCCATGCTAATGATCAGTGAGAAATTTGGAACTGAACCGTTCTCAATGGTTCCTTGAAAATTGGAACAGAACCGATGGAACTGAACCGAACATATCCGGACTTTAAACGGTTCAGTTCGGTTCCTTTCAGGTTCTGAGCTTTTTCATTGCAACAAATTGAAACAAACTACAGAATTTCAATATAAGGGAACCAGTCTTATCCCCATTACAGAGCTGAATGAGCTAACATGGTTTAAATTTGTTCCTAGAATTTTCCAATGCTATTCAATGTTTCAAGCTGGAGTCTTTTTCAAACAAATAAAATAATTAAATTTCCCAAATAACTGAAATACTTAAACTGGAGCAATTGGAACAAAAATTAAAATATTGAAATCTTGGCGGAAAATTTCTAATCAAGAACTCTGAAAAACACACCTTTTCAAAGAGAATGGGCAAGATGATAGGCCAAAATACAAATCACGAAATTAGAGATTGCACTTGTATCACAATTTGTAAATCAGTCGGTCACCAACAACAACAACCTGATCGGCAAAGTGACAAAGCCCAGATGGATCTTGTTTCCACCGAGATTGCCGCCGTCTCCCACCAGATCGTCGTCAATGAAGCCACTCTGCTCGCTTGCTATCAATACCCGAGTTGGCTGTGTGCGGGGCATAAGGGGTGAGGAACATGAGGTGTAATCGTTCTAGATGGTTGTAAGAGAGATAGGGAGCGACGGCATCAGATTAGGGTTTCATCTTATTGAAGAAGTGGAGTGCTTTTACGCAGTGTTTGGAATCACAGATTTGATGGGAATTGGATTTCAAAAGGATTTGGATTAAGGAATTTGAAGGATTTGTTAACTAACCATTAAATTTATCAAAATCATCCTTTTACAACTACTACAAACAGCTTATTGACAAAATATACCCAAGAAATATATATATATCATCTCAAATTCCCTTCAAATTTTATTTTAATTATAATTCAATTTATTTTCCAATTCTATTTTCAATTTACAAAAACAAAAAAAAAATTATTCCAAACAAAGCTTTAATTTTCAATATGTCATTCTAATTTTTAACAATTTTTTTTAAGTATATAGTCTCGTCTTAAACTCAGACATTGTTTTACATAAAAGATTTTTTCAAACACGAAAATCTTCTTTGTTATTAAATTAATGAAAATGTTTATGTAATATTCGATTATATAGTATTGGTATCTTGAAATTAGAATGAGGTTGTATTAAAATGGGTAGAATTGGAGAAAACAACTCCATGTAACCTAATAGAGAAAATTTAATTTAAACTATCTTAATTGAATGAAATTGGAGCCTTAAAAGTAAAAATTAGTATAATGGAAAAAAAGTTTAATTCAAAGTTACAGAAAATTAAGCTAATTTTTTCATTAATTTCATCAATTCCAAAACTCCAATTCGTTGCCGTCGACGTAAAATTTTTCAATTCCAAAAATTGTTGGGATTTATATGCCCTGGTATAGCAAATTCCTGTTTTGATTAAAGTGACATATGTTCCTGAAATTTCTGAAATATTTATGTTTTATACAATTGGTGAATTCAATGTATTATGTTTCAATTCATTATAGAATTGATAGTGTCCATTTGATTACAAGAGATATTTATATATATGTATGTGATAGCAATCAATGCATGATATATAAATAGTAATCATAAATGGTTCATAGTCGGTAATTATGAATGGACTCATAATTAATTAAGATTTAAACTGGATTCGCGTTAGGTTGAGATATTACGATTGCTCCCTATCACTGTCATGGCATTTGACTCTTAAGTATAAGAAAAGTATAAACTCTTTTATTAATTAATAATTACTTTGATTTGTTCGGCGGATTCTTCGGGATCCTTAGACCGACACTTTGGGTAGTTATGTAATTAATAGTTAAAGGGTTATATTTTCAATATTTACATCATTGCTACTTGTATTTATTTTGTATTGATTATGGTTGATCACAAAGTAAATTCGAAGGCCTTCGTGTGTTTTTAGACAAAATGATTTATTATATATTTAGTTATTTAAATTATTATTTTTGTCAAACAAATGTTTTATTGTGATCGAGCCAGAAATAATCAAAGGTATCAAAAGAAATATATTAATTAAGTAGTCGGATTGATGGCTTTATTTATCCGATAACAAATTATACATAGAGGGGTCAAAGTGCAATATTGACTTATAGGTTATTTATTATTTAATTGGAGTTCAATTAATTTCTTTTAGTGGAGTAGAAATTAATTTATGAATTAATTGAATTGGGTCCATGGACCGGGCTAATTATTAATTCATTGTAACCAATAAAATAATAGGCCCAATGGATTCTCACTCATAACCCAACTTGATATTGGAATCATATTAGATTTGAGACATGTGAATTAGAGATTGAGAATGATTTGTTGTTTCCTTTTCTTTATTTTTATGTTGCCTATAAATATACATGGTTTATGTATATTTGAGGGGGTGATTTTTAGAAGAAAGAAAAAGGAATTTATTTTCTCTCTCGAGAAAATTAGGGTTTATGTTCTTATCTAATGGAGGCTCCCACAAGCATAGTTTTCCAAGGTCATTCATGGATGTTTATGAGTGATTCCTAAAGGCAATAACATTACCAAGAAGATGGAGATCTATGAAAAAGGTGTCTAGCAAAAGGGATCTACAATAAGTGAGAACATTCACTTTAGATGAGAGATCTAAGATTTACTCAAACCTTGATGTAAGTATTCAATCTTTTAATTGAATGATACATCATGTTTTATTTTTACATAAAACTTGTCTCTATGTGATGAATCAATATCTATGAATTAAAATCCCTCGAAAGTTTTTAAAACTTGCACGTTTCCCAACAGTGGTATCAGAGCATGGTTTGATTCATTACTAGAGATCATGATTTTATGAAAATTCATCATTCATTGATCCAATTTTGATATGCATATATTTATTTATTGATGCATGTTGATGTATGAATTAATATATTGATACATAATGATGTATGTATAATTGTGAATGAATGATGATATGTGTTTTGGGCCATGGATGAAGCTTATAGGAATATTGAATGTAATTTTATCTTTGGACGAATGTAATTAAGGCTTTGATTTAGCCATTTGAAAGTTCAATGATATAATTTAATTTTTTTCATTGTATTTCAAAGTGTAAATATTTTTAAAGCCATGTAATATTCATCAAAGGGTGCTATAAAGCTTCAAAGAGGTTCAAGAGGGTTAAATTAGGCTTCAGGAATTTTCTGGAATTTTTTAGAACTTTTCTAGGATTTTTTTGAATTTTTAAAGGGCCTAATTTAATTTCTGAAATTTTTTAATTAATTTTCTGGGATTTTTCGGCGTTTTTCCGGCCACCGGATTTGCCGGCGGCAAGCTCAGTGCCGGAGGTGAAGTGTTTGATCCCATGCATTGCGATACACCATATAATGGGGCAATCAATATGACAGCCACAGGATCAGAGGGATGGATCACATGCGGCGCACATTCAGTGCAATCATGACCCGCCACTAATGAGGCGCGTGAGGAACACGCGCAGACAATGTCTGCAGCCTCCATGGTGTGCTGGCGCGTGTTCACGCGCCAGACTTCTATAGGAATGCCCAGCGTGTGCAGGCACGTGAGACGCGCCTGCAAGTGACCACACGCGCGTGCCGGCTTGTGGCAGCGCGTGGCACGCGCTGCATCATCGCTCCAACGCGTGCAAGCGCGTGGGAGCGCTTGACACGCGCTAGGACCCTTTAGGGGCGCGTGCCAGCTCATGCAGGGCCTTCCAAGAGCGTTCCATGCACCGTTTTGCTTTTCTAGGCGCGTACTAGCCTTCTACGGGTGTTTGCAAGTTGACGAAGGACCCTCGTGCAATACTTAGAGCAATTAAATGTTAAAAGCTAATTCCATTGGCCATTTTATTTGCTTTATCTGTCATTTATTTATTTATGCGATGTATGAAATGCATGGAATATATAATTATTAATTAATTATTATTCATGCATTGGATCCATGATATTTATTTAAATGGCTTGATTTATATTAATTAAGTTATAAAAATTAAGTGGATCTGATTACTAATTAATTTGAGGGCACTTATTGGGAAACGAAAAATTATTTTTAAAGTGTGCCTCCAATTAAATATTAGTGAATCATTTAAAAGTCCAATTATTTTCTAAATTTAATTGAATTAAAATCAAGACGTTTTGCATGCATTATATCATGTAAATGAATAAAATGAAAACCCTAATCATGAATGATTAAAAATTGAGTGGGTGCGGGAATTTTTATACATTGCCCCATGGCCTTCGTTATTAACACCATTGTAATTAGATCTTCAAAAATAAGGCCCCACGCATGATTTGAAGAGTCTTAATATTACAAAAATTGTTGTCTCATGAAAATAATATTAAATGTTCATTGTAATTAAATCTTTAAAAATAAGGCCCTACGCATGATTTAAATAGTCTAGATTATAATGACAAGATATTTAAATATTTTATTTTTCATTAGAGCTTTAATAACGTTATACACTCAATCTAAAATCAATAGTGTTAGCTCCCCAACGGAGTGGTCTATACTAGGTGATTTTAGAAAGGCTAAACATAATCGGGAATCATTTCATATAGATAAACAAGGCATTGTCTTAAGAGATATGGAGATGATGGGATTTGCTCGCCAATAGTAATAATGAACTTCGCTAACCGAATAAGTTATTGGCGTATTGGTTATCCGATTTTTCATGCAGTGGTTAAGGGACCCACATATTATTATTTTAATGTAAGTGCTCACCTAATAGCAAATGAATCTCTACAATAGTAATAATGAACTCCTCCAATAAGATAAGTTATTGGCATATTGATTGGTTGATTTATTATGCTACAGAGTTAAGGGACCCGCATTAATTAAAAGGGATTGTTCATCAATAATAATAATGATCTCTTATTCGATTGAGATTTATTATATTATGTGGTAAACAAACTCATTTTAATTTTAAATATGCATGACAGTATTAATAATTCACCTTGCATATTGTATGAATGCATTTATATTCAGATTAATTATGTCTAATCCAGTTTATCTGCTTACTTACATATTCAATGTAACTGGACCTCATTTATAATGACCGGAAAAGGAACTTAGATATTTTATTCACAACGTAAGGGTACAAAATGTATTTAATACTCCTATACCTAATTCCTTTATTTTAAGATACTTAATGAGATGTTTTAGTGAGATTAGATAGGGCATATGTCTAAGTACTATGTCAAATTTAAATTCCATCAAGATAGCCTGAGGAACTCCAGTTTGATATCGGATTTTGAAAAATGATTGTTTATTATTTAAAAATTGAACTGGAGGTCAATTGGGCTGACTTGAATGGTAAATTTCAAATTGACATGATTATTACCTTATTACCAAAGTGGTTCGGTTTTTCCAGAGTGAACTAAATAAGGAATCAGATTAAGTTCACACTCGCTGATATTCTTATAGAATTGGTAACAGATATAGGGATAATCAAAAGTATAGGCGATCCTATTAATCTAACCTAGTCTATACTATCTTCTTCTAGGCCCAAGTGGAAGGTCAAAGTAAAGAAGAATGATGGTAATAGGACTAGGCTAGCACAAAACATGGGTATCTAAAAGGATAAAGGGAATAAGGCAGTGTATGTTGAGGGCAAATTAAATTGTTTCTTTTGTTGCTAACGAAGACACTAAAGGACGAACTGTCTAAACAATGACGTGGCATAGGAAAATATATATTTAATTATTGAGCCATGTTACGTGGTTGTATCTATTAATTCCTGATGGATAGATTCTGGAGCCATTAAACATTCTTGCAATTCGTTGCAAGGATTTCAGGAATTCAGAAGCCTCGATGATATGG